GCACGCGCGCGAACGCGGTCGAGAGAGAGTGATACCTCTCGACGAGACTCCGGCTTGGCGAACTGAGCGTAACGGTAACCACCCTGCTCGGTGTCGCGAACGCGTCTGTCCGGCCGAGCGTTCGTTTCGCGTCGGCAGACTCGGCCGACGGCAACCGTGAGAGTGGGGGTCGCCCCGAAGGCCGACGGAGCGGCGCGAAGTCCCCCGAAGTCGTACGAAGTCGCGTAGCCCCGTGTGCCTCCCGCGACTCCGCGATCATCACAAGACTACGCGATCGGCATTACGCCGCACGCTCGCGAGAAGTTGACTTAGAATCGTTCTCCCCCTCATCGTCGCGTAGAAGTACGTTCGACTCGCTGCGGTCGGGGCAGAGACGTTGCGGTTACACAGTGACACACAAAAAGTTCTTTTTTCTTATTCTGTAGTTAGGTTTTATCTCTTCGACTCCGCTCGAAGACGCGGAATAAAAGTGTAATTTTGCGAGTATTACGTTTAATAGAAGCCGATTGGACGCACTGGTGTATATTAAAGCCGTTGTAAACTGATTTAATCGGAGTGTAAAAGTGGTATGCAAATATGTCGAATATATAAAATACGTATTTTAAACAATTACAATTTAAAATAGTTGAGAATCAATTTAATCAAATGAGAAAAATCTTATTTTTCGATCGAAACGGATCTTAGTGCTTAAATATTTCTAATAGAGGAAAGTTGCCGATACTGACACAGGTCTCCTAAAGTGACACTCCCTTATTTCTCAGAAACTAACTATTGCACTTTATTAATACTAATAAAATCATGATCTGTTTAGTTAAAGAAGTACAAACTCATAATTCGTATATTTATAACTTGTTTCTATACCAAATCAGCTAAAAACGAATTCTACGAATGCGAAAATAAAATTCGTATGATTTTCTTTTGCAAATTGCGTGGTTTAAATAATAGTGACTATATTATTGATAATATTACGTCATTTTTAAATGCTTGTGGTCTCCTAAATCAGTTCTATTTATATTATTTGTTCTCTTAGTCTTTTCATAATACGATTTTAAATTTAAAATTGGGGTGCAGTGTAAACCGCCACACCTGTCTGTAAAACAGATCATGAGCTATTTAATCTTTATAATGGGCGCTTTATAGTGTCAAATAAGTCTATTGGAGCTGAAGGCAATCGTTCATATATGGAAAAATTCTTGAGAAAAGCTTTCGTATTACATATAGTATCTTGCAAAACAGCATAAAATAAATATGCATATAATTCAATAAAAATGTTTTATAACGAAGTGAAAAGATTCTGGAAAATCTTATATACATTCATTTGTAGACACTTTATACAGATAATGCTTGTAAAATAAAAAGAATATGAATACGTAGTATTACTGCCTCCTGTGTCAGTTTTGTCAGACACTCATTTTTGCTTACCTTACGAAAAAATTAATTATTACAAAATTGTAAACAGTATTATAAAATCTGCTTGCGATATTATCTGATAGAAGACACTTTTCAGTTTGTACTTACGTTTTTAAAGTTTTATTTTTACCTTTTGTTTAAGAAATATTGTCTAAAAACAAAGTAGTATGTCGGTATCGACTTTCCTCTACATATTTTACCTACACGGAAAGAACAGTTTTGTTAAAGTATCTAAAAATGCTAGACATGTAGAGAGATCTAAAAATAATTTTGTTGGACTATTAAAATAATTATGTAGGCGAAATAATTAGATTATGTCGCTCGAGCTGATTGTTAGAATGTAAAAACTTCATTGTCCATTATACTCGTTATATGTAACATAATTATTTTGATAGTCTGGGGCAAAATTATTTTCAGATCCGTATCTAGCTAAACTTGACACGGAAAGAACGATTTTGTTGAAGTATTAAAAATTTAATTAAATGTAGATCTGAAAACAATTTCATTAAACTATCAAAATAATTATGTAGAACTCGAGCTTATTAGATTATTTTCTGCAGCGTTGCTCATCATACTTAAACATTTTATTTATGTTACAAATATTTTGATGATCCGACAAAATTATTTTCAAATCTGTATCTAGATAAATTTAGATAGATATTTCGGTAAAATCGTTCTTTCCGTGTAGATATTTTAGCAAACTCGTACTTTCCACGTAACAACATAATAAAGTATATTGAAAATTTCGCGGTTTAATCCATTTCCATATTTATTCATAAACACACATCTTTACATCGATTTATATACAACGGCTTTAATGCGTATTGAGCGCGTCCAACCGAATTCGTTAAAAAAATATGCAAAATGATATCTCAAATCTGCGGTGACAATAAATGCGATTGAAAGTTTCCATAGAATACAAGGATAATTCTTGTTATCTTTTCAAAAAAAGAAAAGAGAAAGAAAGAGAAGGAATACCACATTTTGTAATATACTCAAATGTGTTTCACACATTTTCTTCCCTTTTCTTCTCGGCTGCAAAATGACATTATAGATGTCTCTGTTCCAAAGCATCGACTTTCTCTTCAAACAGTATTCAAAGTATAATTCGAAAAACTCCACGGGGTTTCTGCGGGTTTCTCGTAACTCAAAGAGTTTTGCTTCAATATTTTTGTTCGGCTTATTGCTTTATCCAGACACGCGACTGACACAAAGCAGATCAAACAAACTCCACCGTCACGCCGTCCGCTATTTCGGCTCCAGCGACTGCCGTGCGAGCTCAAACGTCGCTCCGGCCGATGATCCCCCGGGGAGGAGAAATGAGAGGAGAGAGCAGTTTGACACTCATTAAGAAAAGCAACCATGATGATGAAGCCCCGGCGCTTCAACAGCTCACCGAGTTTGGGCACGCCGATATTACGTCGGCGTCCCTTATAAGCCGTATTACCGTCGTCCGAAATTTCCGGTCTCCGGAATATAATCAAGGCGACCGAGTCGCGAATGGAGGGAAGGAACGCGGTCGTCTTCTCGTGGAGCTATGAATTAGCGCGCGCGTGTCGCGATGTGACGCGACGCACCGTTTTCTTTTCTCATACATTACTGAGCTTTTAGGAGCGAGAGTGCTTCCTTGACTTACGATCGTCGCTGGCTCACGTTTCCTGTTACGATTTCGCGTCTTCGCCTAATTCTGTCGCCTTCTCGTTCCGCTTCTGAGACAAACGCGCTCTCGAATGATATCCCGGTAAAAATCCTGTTAAATTTAAACGTGGGATTATCGGGGAGTGTTCTCTGACAGATCTAAAGTCTCCTGCTTGATAACATTTAAAAAGAGATCTCTGTATCTCGTTTATGTATCAGCATGAAATTAGCTGGGGAAGAAGCTTGGAATAAATTTTCAAAATGTTAAAACAATTTTCTATGTTGTTTCGTTATATTTTATTTTCTATCCCTCTTTTAAGATGATTTTGCAATTTATTTTTAATTTCACATTAATTTAAAATTATAACGTAGATCCTTGCGATTTCTTTTTAAAAAGTTAAAAGATCAGGTGGACGTAAAATAGAGATCTAATTTTTCTTTCCTTCTAAGAATCTATAATTTTTTAAAGAGATGGTTCTTCGATAAATCTGAAGTCTTTGTACTTGATAAACATTTAAAAAAGAGATCTTTGCATCGTTTATATATCAACATAAAATGAGCTGAGGAAGAAGCTTGAAACAAATTTTTTAAATGTTAGAACAATTTTTCGTGTTTCATTATTTTATCTATTACCCTGTTTTTAACTTGACGATTCATTTTTAATTTCGTATTGGTTTAAATTTATAACTTAAATCCGTACAATTTCCTTTTAAAAAATTAAGAAATTAGACGCAAAATAGATCGACCTAATCCTGATAGAGCTCACATTTTGTTTCCCTCAAGGATCTATAATTTCTTTAAAAGATGCTGTTCTCTGACAAATCTAAAATTGCCTTTCGCTCGATAGACATTTAAAAAAAAATCTCTATTATTTATATATCAACATGAAATATCTCAGTTTATTGAAGAAAAAGCTTGAAATAAATTTGAGAAATATTGTAATAATTTTCTATATTATTTCGTTATTTTATCTATCCATTTTTCAAGATAACTTCGCGATTTATTTTTTATTTCGCGTTGATTTAAAATTATAACATAGATTTTTTCAATTTCCTTTTATAAACTTAAAGGTAAGGTAAATGCAAGACAGAGCTCGTATTTTTCTTTTCTACAAAGATCGATAATTGCCACATAAAAATTAGATTCATCGCGCTTCGTTATCTGACTCACGATGTCTTACGCGCGTGCATATGAATGTGCATCTGAGGATGCACTCGAGTACGTGGCGCCCTCAACGCGAAGAGGCGATCATCGTCCTCCGTATTGCTCTCTGCAACGATCTCCGGGGCATGCTCTCTCTCGGAGATCTCGAAGAACCGGTATCTACCGGTCTACGGACAGTCATGTCGGTCATTAGTCGGACTAATGTAATGCTTCAAATTCTATCGGGGGCCCATGGCGCCGGAACGGTTGCGTCCGTCCTCCCACTAAAGCGTCGAATCGTTAATATATGCGATAGGAACGTACCTGTTTTGCATTTTGTGTTACGCTTCCCCCCTCCCCCCCTCTCTCTACTTATGCTCGTTCCTTTTTATTTTATAATTAACGCGGTCATCGCCGAAACCCGAGATAAGGAATGGTCCTCGTTAAGCCGGGATCGATGGCGTTCCACAGATTAATTTCTGCCGGTGCGAATGACAGCAATTTAGCAAACGAGGGTGGCACGCACACGCAATATTGCGACATGACATTTCATTGGTTTATCGCAAAACGTTTAACAATGATTAGATAGAGCGCGAATTACTCTCACGCAAGATTTCTTGAAAATTAAAGTTACATTTATATACATATGTATCGCCGGCTGATTCATTATCATTCGTTTGTTAATTGAATAAATGACTACTAT